CTCCGGCCCGAGGCTCAGCATCGAGAGCTCTGACAGCCGAGCCAGCAGGGCCAGTCGGCCTCCCCCCCGTCGTAAGAGCCTGGCAGGACCCATAGACTGGCTCCTGCAGGCGCAGATCGGCCGCCGCTGTGGGGCCAGGCCCACACCGAGGGTCTGCGCGAGCTGCTCAGCACAGGGCTGTTGGGTAACTTGCTACTCGGGGTTAGTCACCGAGGCCCCTGCCCAAAGGGCTCGCCAGGCTGCCGGGGCTTGTCCAGGGGCGCGTCTGGGGCCCAGCGCTGGGTCGCGGGGGTGACTCAAGGAGGGGTTTGGCGGTGCGGAGGGCAGGGGCGTGGAACAGGGACAGGGAGGGTGCGGAGGGGCTCCCTGGCAGCAGGAGGCACAGGCCGGGTGGGGGGAGCGACGGTGGAGCTGGAGGCTGGGGTAGCCCTGCTCAAGGCCAGGGCTAAGACGCTTACACCTCATGGAAGTGCAGGGAGCCAGTGACGTTGCCACCTCGCTGGTGCCCTGCCTCCTTTCTACAGCCCAGGCCCAGGTCCCTGGGGTCTCTTTTCACGCCATCCAGCTGGCCACATCCTTAATGTCTAAACATGGCAGAGACCAAGCTTCCTGCTCTGCAGCCATGGGCAGGTCAGACCCAGCTCCCCTCCTCCTGCCTGGCATGCCTTGACACCCGGCTCCTGGAGCCCTTCTGCTAGCACACTCTGGTTTCTTCCCAGAGCAAGGCTGTGAGTTCAGAAAAGGGCAACCAAAATGATGAGGGTTAGGAAGGGTATATGAAATTTTTTCTTCTTTTTACAATTTGAAATCTTGCAAATAGCAATAGTTTGAGAGTCAAAAATCCATCAGAAAGACTGAAGGGGCCTCGTCAGGCTCAAAACAAGTTGGTTTTTGTTAGGCAGGTTTTGGAGTGGAAGTTTTTTTGGTGGAAGAAGCTGCTAATCTTTCTCCTCTTGAACAATCATGAGGCAGGCTAAGCACTCCTATCCCCGGGACTTTATTTGGCATTTCTTTTAAGAAGGATGTGTGTGACGTCGTGTGGGTACCTTGCTGGTTGCTAGGCTTGGGTTGTGAGTGACCTCCACTGGCTGCTGTCTGCAGCATGGCCCAGCAGGGCAAGGGATGAGTCATTATGCAAGGGGGCTTCGGACCTGTCTGACCAGTTATCTCCCAGGGAGCGGAACAATGGGAAGAAGGGGAGTGGAGCCCAGGGACTGGAAGTGAGTGAGTTAGGTTTCTGGCTGGGATCATGGAGGAAGCAGCCTAGGCAACGGGCTGGGATTTAGGGGCCCAGGCTCCTCCATCTCAAGGGGGGCTGAGGCATCCTAGGCCTGCCCTGTAACCAGATGACATCTGTGCTGTATCCTGGAGAGGCAATAAACTCCCTCTATTCTACTGGCTGGGGGAGTCTGTCCGTGCCATTACGGGGGTGCAGGAGGTGGGAAAACCCCAATGCGCTGTCACAGTTGTGAAGGTCAGGACTTTAACAGGGTTCAAAAAAGAGTGAGATAGATTCCTGGAGGTTAGGTCCATCGGTGGCTATTAGCCCAGATGGGTAGGGATGGTGGGGATAGGCAACAGGGGAGGGATCACGTGAGGATTCCCTGTTCTATTCCCTCCCTCTGGGGCACCTGGCACTGGCCACTGTTGGCCGACAGGACACTGGGCTGGATGGGCCTCTGGTCTGACCCAGGGTAGCCGCTTTTACATTCTCCGTTTGCTCCAGATTTCACTCCGCCTGGAGCAGGAGCCTGGGCTCTCGGCAGAGGATCACGCGCTGCGGTGACTGACGTTGGCGGAAGGACAGAAAACGATGCTCCTCTTGCGGCCTCCTTTGCAGACAGGTGTGTATGCGCCGCACCGAGTGCAGAGCTCCGTGGGAGCCTGGGGCAGCCTGAGGCCAGATGGGAGCAGTACGCAGGAAAGTCCCAGAGGGGCAGGCGTGTTAATCTGCGTAGGCAGAAACAAGGAGGAGTCCCAGGTCGTGTTCCCTGTAAGAGGAGTGCTTGGGCAGCCGGCCAGGTAAGATTCAGGTGCCGCCCAGCTGATTATCAGAGCCCCGCAGCGCGTGGCATGAGTTTCTATTGGCGGTGCACATCTGCATGTGCCTTGGTGCACAGAACAAAACATATTCCGCAGATGAAAACAATTAGCGATAACACGTCCCGTGGCACCTTAGGGACTAAGAGATGAGTCAGGGCATAAATAAGCAGGCCACGAGAGCCTGGTTAGTCTTCAAGGTGCCACAGGCAAGTAAAAGCAGCAATCGATCACAGCGGAGTGAATGGGTGGGACGGAACGTGAGTGACCCACGCCTGGCCGAGCTGTTACTACAAAGGAGCCAATTCCTTGGGGAGCCAGCAAAGAGCCTACGGCAGAGGTACCCCTTGGCGTTCACACAGCCCTACCCCCCACTGCCCCAAATAGACGGGCTGGGGTGGGTGGGCAGCCAGGAACCCCCCGACGCAAGAACAGCTCATCATTTTTAGCAGAACATTTTCCCATCAGAAATGGAGTTTTGATTTTTTTTCCATGGGAAGTTTCACAACAAAACAACATCTCGTGCTTAGCGCCGCACCGAGCTCTTGGCTTTTGTCTAGCTGCTAGCCTCCCACATTTTTGGGTTTGAGTCTGGATATTTAGAGAGGCCCGGGGAGGGGTCTCCCTCCTTCCCTGGAGAGGGGAAACCCCCCAGACCTCTCCAATATTTACTTCCCACCTTTTCTGGTGGCAAATCGGGGAGGAGAGTAGAAAAGGGAGAGAAAATTGGGGACCCCCAATTAACAATTGAGTTCCATCTCTCCGTTTGCATTTCATCTGAAATGTCCCGCTGAAAGGTATCCGGGGGGAACGGCCCATGGCTTTTAAATCAGAAAACAATCCCGGCTTGTCAAACAGCCTGAGCACTTAGCCCATGTGTGCTGTCGCCCGGTGCTCCAGCAAACACGGTCCCGCTGGCAGAGCCTCCGGGGCGGGCAGCCGCTGGAGCACCCTGAGCCAGAATGGGGTGAATCTCTCCCGGACACGGGGGCAGGGAGATTCGGCAGCAGCCTCTGGGCCCGCTGGAGCTCATCCTCTGTACAGTGAAGAAGGAAGCCCCCAGCCGTGGGGAGCGCAAAACTTTTGCACAAAAGGGCCAGTGTAGACAGCTCAGATTTGTTTTCTGCAAAAAAGCCCCGATGGCGAAAATGGCGATTGGGGCTTTTTTGCGGAAAAGCGCGTCTGGATTGGCAAGGACGCTGTTCCGCTAAAAGTGCTTTTGCAGAAAAGCATCCATGGCAATCTAGACGCTCTTTTCCGAAAATGCTTTTAGCGGAAAACTTTTCCATTAAAAGCATTTCCAGAAAATCCTGCCCAGGGGTCTCAGCCGCCCCACACCAGGCCCTCTAGCTGTTATGCTTATAAAAAGCCCCCGGGATCTTCTCAGGGAAAAGGCAACTCGCCGCGTTTCCTGAGAAGACAGTAGAGAAGCTGTTAGCATCTGCTTTATAAGATTCCACCCCCCCCCAGGGCCTACAGATGATGCGTAGTTACCAGTCCGTCCTCGTACTGGCCAGGCAAGGCTGGCCGAGTGAGGAGTCGGGGTCTTAAGGCTCCTTTCAGGCTGGGCTTGCAGGATGGAACCCAGAGTTCCAATGACCAGAGCTCCCCTTCTTAGCCATGTCAGTTCCCATTCGTCTGTGGGTTTTGCAGTGTGGTGCTGCCCTCATCCGCCCTCAGGAGGTGTTGTCCAGAGTTCTCCTCCGACGGGGATTGTCAGGCTGCCCACCCTTGTCTCTCACTCTTGCAGGGACAGGGGGGTGTCTCTGCTTGTCTCCGGGGCTGTCAACGCTGCCAATTTAATTCAGCCTCAGACACAATGGCTGCTTCAAAGTTTCCACTTCTTGATCACCTGGGCATTGTGCTGGCTGTCGCACTCACACACCTCCTGCACTAGCACCGCACAATGGTGCAGTGTTTCAGATGAGATTAATCATTACTTAAAGGAACGGCACAAAGAAAGCAACCCTGCACAACTTAGTTGGTGCTGCAGACAAGGGGTACAACTGAATTTGTTAGCTAACAGGAAGCAAGGCCTTACAGTAAATATTATCGAATCTCGAGAGACAGGGTGAGCTAGAAGCCCACCAAACTTATAAGCAAGTCATTAGACATCAAATCATTATGCACCACACTTACAATCTGATAACCAAGACTACAACGTACATTTTTGCTACATAGTGAGTCCCCAAAGCTGCATCCGGGGTCCTGGGTGCCATGTGGGGGGAGCAGCTGGGGCAATGGCAGGATGGGGGGGGGCTTGGGGCCCCCCCCCCCCCGCATGCCAGGGCTCCTGGGCTGGATTGCACAATTGCCCCAGCTGGGGATGACCTGTGGGCCGGGTGTTTGAGACCCCGCTATAGGTGCCAAGTTGTACTTTGTGCCAGTGGAACAAGACAAAGTGCATCTTAAACCCCCAGGCACATTTTAAAGCCCAAGAGCTCCTGTTCCTGCCTGGCTAACAGCGCCTGTCCCAGCGTGTCCCAGCCCTTGTGTCCGGGAGCGCCAGAGCCGGGAACACAAAGCGATAGCTCTTTACAGTCTTGCCTCAAGCGCCTAACTCAGAACCAGCTCAGCAAAACCTTTTGACCCACTACTGGCAACTTCTCTCCAATGAACTGAACCCGACCCCGTCTCTCTGGAAGCCAGTCCCCTCCCAGCCTCCTCTCATTGCTGCTCCAGTCTGCCTGCCCGCTTGGCTCTGGGGCGCCCAGCACTCCTGGCTGGCCCGGCAGGAGGCACCAACCACTTGCTCCCTTTGGTGGGTGTCACTTTAAGTAGGAACTCTCCTGCCGTTCAGCAAGAGGACACCAGGCGGGAGAGGCGTGCAGGAGTTGCATACGTGCCTACCTGAGAATGGGGTTTCTCTCCCTGTCTCCAGTTTAGCAAGGAAGGTGCCTGCTGCAGGACTTCCAAGGCAGGGTGCGAGCATGGTGAGAACTGCGCCTTGAGTTCAAGCTGGGAGCAGTGACCAGGAGCTCTCTCCCCGCCACGGGCTAACCCCCTGGAGCGCCACTCCCCGGCCTGATGGAAGAGGAGTCCGGGAAGGGCCACCATGCCTTGCTCAGCCCCATGGAGGACAACGAGCTGGTAAAGGCGGGGGCGGTGATTTCTGCTTTCCGGTTACACCTGGCGGGGCGCGCAGCAGCGGCGTTTCCAAGGCTCCCTGGGGTTTCCAGCTAAACGCAGCATGCCACGTGGGGGGCGTTTCCAGCCGAGGCTCTGACCCCGAGGGCTGAGGTCATTTCTTCACCGACGGCAGCGGGGGAGGCCGTCCAGGTCCAGCCCACAGACCCCCAGAGAGGAGAGGCTGTAGCGCCTCTGCCACTGCTTTTCCTCACGCCTCTTCCAGCCTAACCATCACACCCCAGCAGCAGGGCCTCCGCCCCTGCAGGTGGGAGCCGCCTCACGGGAGCAGCTCCCAGGAAAGATGCTGAGAAACCAGCCCTGGTTTGCTGTTTCCTGGCCTGAGAGCTGCCCTGCACAGCTCTGTGAGCGGTGACTGAGACACAGCCGGCTGGAAACGCCCGAGGGGCTGGAGGGTCCTGCCCTGCATAGCTCTGCAGGGCGGTGGCTGAGCCAGAGCCGGCTGGAAACGCCCGAGGGGCTGGAGGGTCCTGCCCTGCATAGCTCTGCAGGGCGGTGGCTGAGCCAGAGCCGGCTGGAAACGCCCGAGGGGCTGGAGGGTCCTGCCCTGCATAGCTCTGCAGGGCGGTGGCTGAGCCAGAGCCGGCTGGAAACGCCCGAGGGGCTGGAGGGTCCTGCCCTGCATAGCTCTGCAGGGCGGTGGCTGAGCCAGAGCCGGCTGGAAACGCCCGAGGGGCTGGAGGGTCCTGCCCTGCATAGCTCTGCAGGGCGGTGGCTGAGCCAGAGCCGGCTGGAAACGCCCGAGGGGCTGGAGGGTCCTGCCCTGCATAGCTCTGCAGGGCGGTGGCTGAGCCAGAGCCGGCTGGAAACGCCCGAGGGGCTGGAGGGTCCTGCCCTGCATAGCTCTGCAGGGCGGTGGCTGAGCCAGAGCCGGCTGGAAACGCCCGAGGGGCTGGAGGGTCCTGCCCTGCATAGCTCTGCAGGGCGGTGGCTGAGCCAGAGCCGGCTGGAAACGCCCGAGGGGCTGGAGGGTCCTGCCCTGCATAGCTCTGCAGGGCGGTGGCTGAGCCAGAGCCGGCTGGAAACGCCCGAGGGGCTGGAGGGTCCTGCCCTGCATAGCTCTGCAGGGCGGTGGCTGAGCCAGAGCCGGCTGGAAACGCCCGAGGGGCTGGAGGGTCCTGCCCTGCATAGCTCTGCAGGGCGGTGGCTGAGCCAGAGCCGGCTGGAAACGCCCGAGGGGCTGGAGGGTCCTGCCCTGCATAGCTCTGCAGGGCGGTGGCTGAGCCAGAGCCGGCTGGAAACGCCCGAGGGGCTGGAGGGTCCTGCCCTGCATAGCTCTGCAGGGCGGTGGCTGAGCCAGAGCCGGCTGGAAACGCCCGAGGGGCTGGAGGGTCCTGCCCTGCATAGCTCTGCAGGGCGGTGGCTGAGCCAGAGCCGGCTGGAAACGCCCGAGGGGCTGGAGGGTCCTGCCCTGCATAGCTCTGCAGGGCGGTGGCTGAGCCAGAGCCGGCTGGAAACGCCCGAGGGGCTGGAGGGTCCTGCCCTGCATAGCTCTGCAGGGCGGTGGCTGAGCCAGAGCCGGCTGGAAACGCCCGAGGGGCTGGAGGGTCCTGCCCTGCATAGCTCTGCAGGGCGGTGGCTGAGCCAGAGCCGGCTGGAAACGCCCGAGGGGCTGGAGGGTCCTGCCCTGCATAGCTCTGCAGGGCAGTGGCTGAGCCAGAGCCAGAGCCAGAGCCAGAGCTGGCTGGAATCGCCCCAGAGGGGCTGGGGGGTCCTGCCCTTCATGCTGTAGTTCAGGGGTAACTGAGCTCAGGAACTATATTTACGTATAGTGCCTCTAATTATAGAATGATCAATAATGCTTAACATTTACTGTCTGAGAATCACCAAGCATTTTAGAATGGATAACAAATGCAGAGGGGGTTAAGTGAATTTGAATCCCCCACCTCGTGACTCAGTTCTGTGCCTTACCTAATGAACCCCACTGCATGCCTCAAAACTCGATGGCTACGTCTACACTGGCATGAATTTCCGAAAATGCTTTTAATGGAAAAGTTTTCCGTTCAAAGCATTTTTGGAAAAGAACGTCTAGATTGGCAGGATGCTTTTCCACAAAAGCACTTTTTGCGGAAAAATGTCCGTGGCCAATCTAGACGCGCTTTTCCACAAAAAAGCCCCGATCGCCATTTTCACAATCGGGGCTTTTTTGCAGAAAACAGCACTGTGCTGTCTACACTGGCCCTTTTGCGCAAAAGGCTTTCAGAAAAAGACTTTTGCCCTTACAGGAGCAGCATAGTATTTCCGGAGCAGCACTGATGATTTTACAGGAGATCGTCAGGGCTTTTCCGGAAATTCAAACGGCCAGTGTAGACAGCAGGAAAGTTTTTCTGCAAAATCCGCCAGTCTAGACACAGCCTGTGTGTGCGTGTGTATGTTGAGGGACGTATCTCACACACACACTCTCTCCAGCTGGCAGTGTGTGCGTGTGTGCGTGCGCTGAGGGATGTATCACACATTCTCTCAGGCTAGCTGAAGTGCCCCTTTGCACTCACCTGTGGCAGGGAAGGGTGTGCGTACGGGCAGCTGAAGGCTGCAGCTCAGCGCGCTGCGTGACAGTTCATCTGCACTAGGGACACTGCTGCTGTGGGGCTGTGTCGCCATGGGGCTGTCACCCTGCTCCCTGTGCTAGCGTCATGGCAGCCTGATTCTCAAGCAGCCAGGGCCTTGGGGTGCCAGCACCCTGCGACACATAGAACGTCGCAGGCTGGGGCCTTGGCTCCGCAGAAGCAATTCAGCCTCCACGGTCCCCTGGCTGCCTTGTGCTGGGTCTGCGCCGGAGGAGCCCGGCGGGGGATCGTCTTCGGGGTGGGGCTCTGTCCCAGGGGGTGGCACGGAGCCCACGTCCGGCGAGAACGACTGAGTCTGCTCCTCAGCCTTAGCTCCTGCGGTGGAGGCTCATGCACTAGGCCCCAGCGGGCCCAGGTTTGGCTCTGCCTGTGTTACACAGAGCTCTAACTCTGCCGCGTGGGGAGGTGGAGTTAACCCCTGTGAAAGGTGAGCGACAATGGCCAGAGTGAAATTTTAGGGCAGACAGTTACCACCTGAGGTCAACATCATCTGCCTGGAGTCAGCCTCCCTCTGTGGTGTGCCCTGACCCTGTCTGCAAGCAGCGTGGCACGGGTCTCACATGGCTCCATCGCTCGGGGGTGGGGGGTTCACACCCCTGACCGACAAAACAAAGCTGATAAAAACCTTTCAGCAGAGACCGGCCTTAACAATGTGGGTTTCAGGCAGATTACTCAAACCAGTGCCGAAGGCAACGTGGATATTCTTATTTCAGTTTAACCGGGCTGTAATTTGAATGCATTAGGAAGAGGTGGAAGCTAAATCAAAGAGGCCACTTTCAACCTGCATGGTTCTTCAGCTCGGCTTAACTAAATCCATGTAAAATCCCACCTGAAATGAAACTGGTGAAACCTACTTGCTGAGGGGTTGGCGTCTCTTGCCGAATTCCAACGTGTGCAATTACATTCTGCTTTTCTACAGGCCCGGTGGATTCCACCACATATGATCTTCTGTGGTTTCTGTCCCGTAGAAAATTAAGTAGTGGAGACTCCTCCCTGCCCCGGTACTGAGGTGATTGTGTTTTGGTGCTGGAGTATGTAATCCCCACCCTGGAGAGTGTATTGTTCTGTTAAGCAGTCTGAGAATCCTTTGGGATGAAATCAAATAGAAATGCAAGACAATTTTCGTTTTAAAATATACTTAACCGACCCGGGTCTGCAGAGTCCCTCACCTCCAAACAAGCGGGGACCTAGTACCCTGTGCCGCATGAGTGGTTTTAGTGGTCAAGTATGTTAGCTAGCCTGCGTGGATGACACAATGTTTTTGTC